ATTTCCCCCAACCTCTTTGTGTTTTGTCTTTTTGGTTTTTTCTGAGACAGAGTCTTGCTCTGTCTCCCAGGCTAGAGTGCAATTGTGTCATCATAGCTCACAGTAACTTCAAATTCCCAGGTTCAAGTGATCCTCCTGCCTCAGCCTCCCAAGTAGCTGGGTCTACAGGCGTCTGGCACCACACCAGGCTACTTTTTCTATTTTTCATAGAGATGGGGTCTCACTCAGGCTGGTCTCACATTCCTGAGCTCAAGTGATCGTCCCTCCTCAGCCTCCCAGGGTGCTGGGATTCCAGACATGAGCCACCGTGTCCAGCCTCCCATCCTCTTATATTAATATTCAGTGTACTCGCAAAACATCAAACACTTCCCACTAAACTATGTAATTTGGGGTTTTATGGAGGCTGACTTATTTGGACTCTAAAGAATGCAGACAATTCTCTCCCAGTCACTGAAAACATAATTACATTTATAAAACAAGTATAAAGGTGCAAGTTCCAAAATCTTTGGAAAAAAAAAAGTGAAGCCCCAGATGAGGGGAAAGAGTTAGGAAAATTGCTGATTAAAGAGAACAAAAGCAGATTTATGAGAGAATTTCTTCTAGCTATAGAATAAATGATAAAAATAAAAACAATAATAAAGGAGCCTCTTCAGGTTATAAAATGGAAAGTGGACCAGCAGCTGGTGTCACTGATCGCCATTGGGCTTGTGCCTTCCTGGCCTCGATTCTGTGCACAAGAGCCTCATTCACAGCGCTTCACACATGCCCCATGACATTGCCTCCCAGACTGTCCTGGGGAAGCAATCTGGGGAATGCGGGGACTATAAACAGGGGGCCTAACATGCAGGACCACAAGCACTGACAGGTTCAGGATGCACAGCAGAACAGTTCGTCCATGCTGGCCTTGTCATCTAATTTTCTCTGCATTTCAGTGTTCTTCATCCCCATAGTGGTTCTTAAAAGGGGGAGTTGAAGCCAGTACAGGGAAAATCAGAACTGACAGGTTTTTGTTACTTGCCCTTCCACTGAGATGACACTCCATGGGGTGGTGCACAGAAAACCACCCCAGGACATTTCTCGAACAATTGTAAACATAACTGCGTCTGTTCATGTATGCCACTAGGTAACAAAGTTAAGAAGATATTGCTTTTTGATGTCAGCTCTGGAACATTCTCTCTGAGAAAAACTGAAAGATCACTCACACCATAGAGAGCACTGACCATGGCTTGGTGAAGCAGAAAGAACAGAGATTTAGGGGTCTGCAGACTGGGCGTGGCTCTGCCACTGTTTTGCTATATGATCTTAGACCAGCTAGCTAACCTCCCTGAGCTTGTTTTCTCATTAGGAAAATTAGGTTGATAGTACACAAATCCCAGGATTAGGTGAAAAACAGTGGCTCATAGATGCTCAGTAAATGCTGACTCATTTTTCCCTTTTCCATATTCCCACAACCCTAAACAGCCAGTCTACAGCCTAAAGCTGGCCCATAGACATACTTTTTGCTGCATATTATGTTTGTAGTTTTTTCTTTTTTGTGGGGGGGGGGTTCTTGTTTGTTTTTTACTTTAATGAGCCACAGTTGAAGATTTCCTAAAACTCTAATTTCAGTTTATCTTAAAAAACTGCAATGGCAACAATGGGCTGGATCCCTCCATGGCCACATGGAGCTGGAATTGATTATTTAGACAGGGCACATGCTCTCCAACTCATTAGCTTCCCAACCCAGCCATGCTCATTTCCTTGAGATCTCTGACAATAATATAGACAACTGAATTTGCCAAATACAGTAACAGTCACAAAGGAGTCCACTCAAATCATCATCCTCTCTTCCCTGTCCCACATCACATGTTCTTTTGGTGCCTAATCCAGTACTGAAGTTAAACATGGCTACTCATGATGGAGCAGTAGATTGAACATGAAGTTATACGAAACCAAATCATGGAGGAAGGAGGTGGAAGAGACACTCACCTGCCCGCATGTGTGCATACACACACACACACACACACACACACACACACACACGTCTGACTATATCCAGTTAGGCTCATGCATTTCCCTTAGTATATTCAGTGAAATGAGTTTGAGGGAATAAACCAAGTATAAATCATGCTCTTCAATCCTACAAGAGTGAATTAATATTTACATATATTTCTTTATTCTAAGAGAATTTGAGTCAGCTTACAGCTACACATATACAGCAATTCCACTACTGGGCATCTACCCAAAAGATCAAATGACACTCTACAACTGGGACACCTGCACTCGAATGTTTATAACAGCACAGTTCACAATAGCAAAGGTGTGGAAACAACCCAGGTGCCATCAATACATGAGTGGATTAATAAAATGTGGTATATGTATACCATGGAGTACAATTCAGCTTTAAGAAACAATGGTGATCTAGCACCTCTTATATTTTCCTGGATAGAGCTGAAACCCATTCTAATAAGTGAAGTATCTTAAGAATGGAAAAACAAGCACCGCATGTACTCACCAGCAAATTGGTATTAACGGATCAACACCTAAGTGGACATATAGGAATAACATTTATCGGGTGTCAGGCAGGTGGGAGGGGGGGAGGGGATGGGTATATACATACACAATGAGTGAGATGTGCAACGTTTGGGGGATGGTCACCCTTGAAGCTCTGACTCAAGGGGGGAGGGGGCCATGGGCAATATACATAACCTTAACATTTGTACCCCCATAATATGCTGAAATTTAAAAAAAATGGAAAAAATAAATAGAAAAAAAAAGATTAAATTGCTTTGATAATCAAATAAATATTATAATAGGTAATGAAAACAAATGGTTAGGAGACCATGGAAAAACTGGCAAACTGGAACAGGAATTGAAACTGGAACTTGTGACAGTGAGACAGTTGTCCCTCTACCTGTGATGTAGGAATAAACAGTACTTGTGTGCATATGTTATTTCTCTCTAAGTGGGTGAAACTTCAAGATAGATTCCTAGAAGTGGGTTTGATTGGGAGCAAATCTTCTCCTAGTCGAACCTTCAGATGAGACCCCACCCTTGTCTGACACCTTGATTGTGGTCTTGTGAGTCTGTAAAGCAGGGCTCCAGCTAAGCTGTGTCTGGGATTTTTGATGTACAGGACCTGAAATAAAAAATGTATATTGTTTTAAGTTGATAAATTTTAGGGTGATTTGTTGCTGAGATGACGAATAGTCCCGGTTTGCCTGGGACTGTCATTGCTCTGTCACTGAAAGTCCCAAGTTCCAGTAAACCCTTCAGTCTTGAAACTGGAACGGGAATTGAAACTGGAACTTGTGACAGTGAGACAGTTGTCCCTCTACCTGTGATGTAGGAATAAACAGTACTTGTGTGCATATGTTATTTCTAAGTGAGTGACACTTCAAGATAGATTCCTAGAAGTGGGTTTTTGGTGTCTAAATGGTAAATTCATCTGGAATTTTATTAGATATTTCCAAATTCCCCTTCACAGGGGTTGCACCATTTTGTACTCCCATCTGCAATCTGAGAGTGCCGGTTCACTCTCACAAGCTCACACATCTGGTGTGATGTGTCCCTCACAGGCTGTTGGAATGAAGGCCTCAGCCAGTCACTGGCTGGCTGTGAACTGCAGGCTGCCCTTTGATGTGGGCCTCTTCATCATGGCATCCTGCTTCATCAAAGCAAATGAAAGAGAATTGGGTAGCAAGACAGAAGTCATAACTTTTTGTAACTTAATCACAGAAGTGTCATCCTTCAATAGTGCCATGGAATTATACAATACCAGGAAGTAGAGATTATTTATCTGGGACCAGTTTAGAATCTGCCTGACCCCAGGCCTAGGTATATCAAATACACCTCCTGCTCCATTTCAACTCCTCTCAATTCAGCCATTTAGTACTATCTTCTCCCCAAAGGCAGCTCAGGTACAAGGGATGAGTTCCACACTGGGCAGGTATGGGAGGTAACCTGGCTAACAAGCTCATGCCCCAAAAGAGCCAGTATCTCCTGTGACAGGATAGCTTTCATTGCCCCCAGGGAACCCTGTTATAAAAGTCACCACACTCAGGGAAACCCAAAGCAATCATGTATGCTTCCTTCTAGTCCAGATGCAATTCACCCATCAGGGGTCAATTTTATCTTTGGCAATGCTGCCTGGAAATGTAATTTGTATTCTACCTTTAAAGAGGTTGCCAGAGTATCAGAGCTACACAGTCAACCATAGGTTAAATTATCACACTGAAGGAAGAGGTTTGCTTACCCTTTACTCATCCACCTTTATATGAAAGAGTCTACAGATTCTTATCCTCCTTAGAAAGGAGCTACCATGGCTGCAGAAATGTTCTCTGGTGTTTGAGAAAGCTGTAAGGGAAAAAATGGGGGAAGGAGGGAAATTCCAATACCAGCTCTATCTTCTCCCCTTGTCTTTCTAAGGCAAACCCCGCTTGAAACATAAGACTGATGTGGTTTTTGGCTTTTGTTTTTGTAAATAGTGAGGCTACTGTGGCAATTAGTTAGCCAAGTCTTAGTGCTTCATCTGACAGCCAGAGTCTAAAGTGCTTGAGACTATTCAAGAATATAAATGTCACCCACTTTCTATTCTTATGTCCTGCAGATAAGAGGACAATACAGTCTTATCCAAGATCAGAAAGTTACCTCTCCAGCCATATCAGACCCACTGTGGGTAGGTGGATCAGGAATAGTTCTCCTTAACCCAACGAGCTCTACTGCCACCCAGGTGGGCCTGCACGCCTAGGACATGGGTCCCAGGTAGGTGGAGATCTCTCTCTCACCCATAGCTGTTCCTCCCTCAGGCCCCTGAGCCGATAGACCCATCCAAGTCTCTGCTCTCTTCCATACTGCACCCTATTCACCTCTCCCAGATTTTGTCACTTGACTCCTTTCCATGTCCCCTAGAAGAAAGTTGGAGAGGGTTTAGGGTCCATATGGATAAAGGGTAGGATGAAGGTCAAGCATCTATTTACACAGCGATCAAATCCTTTCCCTAGTGAGAGTGAATACCTCAATAAAAAATCTTCTGCTCCATTATGCTAAAAGGGTCTCTGGCCCTTTTGTTCCTGCCCCCATTCTGAGTGCCATTACAACAAAGGTCCTCTTCTGGCCTCTTCGCTTGATGGCTACCATGCCCCGGGGAAGGGGGAGGCCAAGAACCTATCTGCACCCCAATACTTCCCACTTTGCAGAAGTCGGCCTTATTTATTCCAAGAAACTGAATGTCTATGCAAAAAGGTTCTCTCTAAAAGCAACCCTCAGCTTCTCTCAAGGAAGTGCAGCAGGAGAACTCTTCTGGAGACTTGTGTTTCATCTTTAGGGCTCCACTCTGACCTTATGGCCCAAATCTCCCTTTGCAGCCTGTGGACTGGCACCAACCCAATGGAGAAAACTGGGTTCTCTTCTCTTTCGGGGAGTCCAATAAGCTTCTTTAGTGATTCTACTGGTGCTTTGGTCAACTGTCCAGAGAGCCAAGAACAGGCCCTGGGTGAGACAGCCAAGCTGGCATCTGTGAGCCGAGCAGAGCTGTGCCACTACGCTTCAATGGACTTGTTCAAGGGAGCAGATAAAATGCAGGGCAAAGTCCGAGAAGGCAGAGAGGGAGAGCTGGGAAAGACAGCAGATGTTGTAAAAGATACTCTTTCAAGTTTCCTGTGCGCTAGGAATCTGCAGATGTACGCTGGCAGGGCTACAGTGGGAGTGCGGCGGGAGGCTGGGGTTCGCACATCTGGAGATCGTTTGGCAGGGGGCAGAGTTCAAACGCTTTCTGCTTCAGCTGCCGCAGACAGAGTGCGCCGAGCAGGCCGCTGCTGAGCGAGGGGCCGGCTGCTCGCACAGGATCCCCCGCCTCGCCCTGGTGGACGCCCTGCCCGGGCCGGTGGGTTTTCCTCTGTAGCAGTTCAGTCCCATGGAAAAGTTGAAAGGATTATAAAAAGAGAGAAAGGGCCAGGGGAAGGAGGGGAGCGAAGAAGAGAATGCACCACAACTGAGAGAAGCCTGGCTGGAAATCAAGAAACAAAATGTACTTGGAAGGAATCCAGCGCATGAGTTAACTTGAGAGCAAAGAACACCATTCAGAGGAGGGGAAAAAAAAAAAAAGCTTTCTCTGCAGCATAGTAACACCCAGGAATCATGCTCACACCACATTTACTTTTCTCAGAAATCCCTGTACATTTTGCCTTCATTTATTTCAAGAATGTGAAGGGCCCTCTTGATCCTGAGGGAATTACTTATTTCCTTTTGAAGGATTTATGGGGTTCTGCAGAGAGCGAGCGCAGGTCTCTGAGGGCCGGGTCATCACCCCACTGACCTGCAGCCTCCTGCTGTCAAATGTGAGCTGTGGCCTTCCTCCCGGAAGGGAGCCGGGTCATCTCGGGTGCCCAGCTTCCCTCCGAGGAGGAGCACATCTTCGGGGTGAAATCGGGTCCCAGTTCAAAGTTCCTGCCTCGCTCAACTGTGCAGACGATACGGCTCGCAGCTGCTCACGGGCTTAGCGTGCGGCCTTGTGGACCCCTGTTTGGTGAGGTGACCTTTCAAAAAGTGGTAATGAGTTAAAGGCACGGGGGCACTGGTTAATACGATCCAGGACTTTAGAAGGATCCGTCCACCTGGGGAGAGGAACACGGCACCTAAAAAGATGAGATGCAAAACATAACAAAAAAACATAGTAAATACCAAATGTGAGACAAAACAAGTTCACACAGATCTCGTGATCCTCACACCCAAAGCCTGCTTACCTTCCCGAACCCTCTAATGTGATGGATGCCCCTGCCATCCCCACCATTGCCCAAGCTTGAAATGCCCGTCTCCCCAGGAGGTCCCCTGCTGCCAATCTTGTCCATTCCCGGAGTTATCTTTTAGAAATCTAAATCTGAGCATGCCGTGACTCTAAATGGTCCAGTAGCTCCCCACAGCTTTCGGGAGGAAGTTCAGCCTCCAGCATGACACACACAATTTTCATGATCTGGTTTTTGTCCACTTTCCAAACCTCACCTTCGGTAAATGCTGGTAAATGCTTAACAACCAGATCTCCAAACACACCACTGCACTGTCTGATGCGATTCATACTCCCCCTCAAGCAACAATGAACTTTTTTCAACTTCCTGATCCTTCTATAATCCTCCCCCTCATCTGGGCCTTTATACATCTTTCTGTCTCTGCCCAGGAAGACCTTCTTCCTGCCTCACCCACACCTCCTCATCCTTCAAGTCCAAGCTCCTACAAGAAGTCTTCCTATCACAAGCATAGTGAACATCAGTGGCCGCCAAAATATTTCCTTGTGATTTTGTGCTTCTGGGACCTGCTGTGCTAGGTGCCTCTTGAGAACAGGGACCATGTTTTATCTGTGCGTCCACACTCCCTGACACCCCTCCTGGCATAATAGGTTTTTGGTAACAGCTAAGTTAAAGAATACAAATAGTGCTCATTTTTACTTTACTAGTTACACTCCACCCTCTTATAAAAAGATTCAAGGTTGTGAGTAAGTGCTGTCATGTGAATAAGGCCCTCCACTGAGACCAAGACCCAGCTCTGGGAAGGACAGAGTAGTTGGAAAGAACTTCATGGAGAAGAGCTGCTAGATTTAACAAATTACAATATAGGATGCCTATTTACATTTGAATTTTAGGTAAACAAATAATTTTTCAATATAAGCATGTCCCATGCCACATGAGAAATATTTATAGTAAAAAAAAAAAGGTATTCATTTATCTGAAATTCATATTAATTAAGTGTTCTATATTTTATCTGGCAACCCTATCTTTGATGAGGCTGCATTCGAGCAAGATCTTGCAGGATGAGTCAGATTCAGAGACAGCAGAGAGAAGGGGACAGGTTCTCCCTGGTGGGAAAGTGTGGGAAGGGAGACAAGCAAAATGCACAGAAATGGAGACCTGCTAGGCATTTCACATGGGTCTGGTTAGAGCATGAAGTTTATCCCTACAGAGGATGTTAGGCCGAGATGAAGAAGGAGAACATTGAAACTGTAATTGAACTGACCGGAGAGGAGACAATCGCAATTGTTCAGAGTTTGTAAGTCCTGAACTGGCCCATAGGCAATGGGAAGAAAGAACAGGAGAAATAGACAGATTTCTAAATATGGGAGCTAAAGGCTGGGGAGCTCTGAAGAATCCTTCAAGATTTAAGATTCAGGAGGAGAAATCAGATTAGGAGGGAGAGGAAGAGGAGGATGAGCTTCATTTAGACAAGTGGAATTTGATATGAAAGTAGGACACCCAAGGAGAAATGTACAGCCGAGCGGAAGCTGGGGTGCTAGAGCCTGCACATGACAGTGGTCACGAAATATCCCCACATATGTGACTGTCTCCAGGGGCTCTCTGTCACTTACATGATCTACATACATGAAGGAGAAATGAGACTATCCTCAAAAACATCCCAGGCAGTGTAATGAAACACTGACCTGCTAATGTGTTCATCATTCCAGAGCTTCTCAAGGGTCTACCAGGCCATGATGGACACATCTCGCTCTTTGGCTTCCTGTGGGAATGCTTGAGACAGTTCACCATTAGACAGTAATACGATGGGACAGAGCATTTTTCCAGTAAGTCACCTAAATGCACTGTAAAGCCTATATTTGCTATAGTTCAAATCTGCCTGAATGGAACAATTTTGCTTATCTACATTAGACTGGTACAGGCTAATGGAAATTAGCACAGGCTATGGAAATAATAGATATGAAAGCACATGGAGGCACATGCTATGTAAGATATGGAGGCACAGGCTATGGAAATAATAGATATGAAAGTGCTTTGAAAATTATAATAACTTGCTATGCAAATCTAAGATTATTCACTCAAACTCAATATCTACAATGTAACTGAAAATCATTACCTAGACATCCCAAATTATGTCTGTGTACTGCCAAACACCTGCACACTTCAAGATAATCAAAGTCAAGTCTCCCCCACACTCCCTAAGCCTCTCCTGCCTTTCTTTTTCTTAGCACTTATCATCATCTGTCATACTATATAAGTAATCACTTATGAAGCTTGCATTTCCCCCAGCCATCCACAAGAATGCATGAGCCTTGAGGGCAAGAACATGTTTTTTTCATGGCTATATCTCTCCATGCTTCAAACAGTGCTTGTTTCCAGCTGAGTGAATTAACTTTACTTTTCAAAGGGATGACCGAGATTGCATAATTTCATATCTATCTTGGTAGCTAGGAAGTGTCCTGAGAAATAAATGTGAAAGAAACCTCTGAATCATGGCATCCATCATCATATAACTGGGCATCAAACCACCATGAAGTCTTATCAGGAGGTGTGGTTCATGTGAACAGCTCAAGAGCCCTCACGATAAGACAGTTGGAAGCCAAGGCCTAAGTCCTTCCTGGTAAATGACACTATGAACATCTTAGGTGACCCATGAGAGCTAATTTCTCTCCCTTGGTATGGACCTTGCTAAGCTTAGCTGTTTGATATTTCTCTTACACCTCAAGAGACCTCAGATCTTCAACCCAACCCTGCTGACGACTGACTCAACAAAGGCACCCTATGGATGCCTTTGGACTGTGCTTTTCCCAATCCTATGGACTGTGCTTTTCCCATCCTCCTGGGACAGTGTGTTGGTTTCGAATGACAAAGAAGAGCCACATTTGAATTCATACTCCAAAGCCCAGCATGTCTATTTGACCCTTTCATTCTTTGTGTATGGCCCATTCCCCTATTTCTCCAGCAATCCCAACTACCTTAGAGCACTGACTGGACACACCCTTGCACATGGTATCCTACAGAGCAAATGGAAAAGAAAGGACTCCTGCTCAGCTTTCCAGCATGAACAGTCATTTCCAACATAGACAAACACACAAAAAATACACTGCAGCTGAAGTTCAGATGAGCCTTGAAAGGCAACCAGCTGTACTCTTAAACCCAGCTGTTATGTGTCCTGGTTCAACAACGGAAGAGACTGGCAAGGCTTGGAGAACCAGTACTGAAGTCCAAAAGGCTGTCACATCTGGGTGTGCTTGGCCTCCCTGGGAGGTGGGAGGCAGAAGGCTCGAGGGACTCAGTAACAGGATGCTAAGGGAGATGTAGGTGTCCTGGCAAAGAAGGACCCCTCTAAATAACTGATTCCTTCCTGGAGTCTGGTGGGAGGGAAATTGATGCAAATTAACAGGAACAGAAGGGCCACAGGCCTGGAGTACCTGGAGAAGTCATGGGTGGTGGCATATGAATTCCCAGCAGGTCACTGTGATAGGAAATCTCATGCCTGTCCTTTTACCATTTCCTCCATCTCTTGTTCTCTGTCACATCTCCTGGGTGTCAATCACCTGGCCACCCACAAAGAGACTGGAGAAGAGGCTCCCCTGCTTTCCCTAACATCCTGCAAGCCCTCCCCATCCTCTGCAAGGCCATCCTGCTCCACAGAGACTGTCAACCCTCTCCCTTCCCCATCCTTGTCCTCTGTCGGTCCACTGCAGTATTCTTTGGCCTCCTAATTACTGCCACACATGAAGCTGATGGCTGGGGTTTATAGCCACTATTACTGCCGGGTCCTCTTCCCATCATTGTCTGGAAGCCTGTCTTCATTTAAGCTGTAATCCTTTTTGCCATTTTTGACCTAGTTCCCATTATTTTATATTTTTCCATATAAAGTCAAATAAGCCACTTGTTAGCCGGTATAGATCTTATTGGTTCCAGCTCTTCCATTGTAACTAAAATGAGTGCCTGATGGGAAAAAATTCCACAGGCTGGTCCCAGGGACTCATCTGCTTTCTTAGCTTATAGAATAAAGGACTGGATGGGAAGCACCTTTGAAAATTCCAGTGGTATTTCTTAACTAGACAAAGAGGTGCTGTAACTCATTACCACCAACCTTCAGATGGAAGAATGCATTTAAATACATCAAAGATATGAAAAAGTGTAGATAAAGCACTCCTCTGTAACTGTTAAGTCTACCCATTCCTGGTTGAAAAATTGATAACAGGTGATGAATGTGTTTTACATATAAGGTGCAGGAAGAAGAAACTGAGAAACAAGAAAAAGAGAGTAAAGGACTAAGAGTTAAACAACAATAATGAGGCATAATTAATCCTTCCTTTTTACCTCCAGCCCCAGATAACTGTATGTATGGCTGAACAAAAGCTTAAGAGGCACCACATTAGAAAATATTATTTCTTGAAACATGAATGGCATGACCATGGGTCTGAACAATGACACCTCCAGGGATAAATAACCCACAGACCGGTCTCCACCCCTTTCAGGGCATATTTCAGAAGGAGTCCCATGCACTGTGTTTGTGATTTGAATCCAACCAAACTTTTAAGTCTCTCACTAACCCTTTAATATGCTATAATTTGCTTTTCTATCACGTAGGGAAAACATTAGGACTACTTAGGGATGTTCTCAGGTGCTATTTCTAGCCTATTTTTCTCCTTCAAAATCAAGTGGTTGCACAGCTAATCCACTGAAACTGTAGAGTATGTGGGACTCTCGCAGATTATACCCAAATAGTAATGTCAGAGTGGTTTTATAATCCCACCAAAGTGGTAACTGCTTTGTGACTGGCTGTTGGAAATTTGCATTGTGCAGTCCAGAGACACCATCTGACACGGGTAAGAAATAAACATAGTCATGAGCCACTTCCTGATAGGGTGGTGTTTTGAGAT